AGAATTCATGAGAAACTCTAGTGTGCTTCCAAACTATTAAAGCCTCCGTCATGTCTAATAAGGGTATTTTCTAAAAAGCTTGTTGTTCTACTGAAATCTATCTGCTTAAAACCCCGTCATTTGTATTCATTACATGTAAAAGTATCTGCACAATTGTGTATAAATTTAATATCAATAATCTTATTTATTTCTGATTTTTTGTAGTCATGCGTTGCAACATAATGACACTGTTCGAATGGAAAATATATCTACATATCATGATCTTATGACACGTACAACACGTCCAACAACAAATGAATATGGTGAAATAAATATAGGAAACGTCAACCATTCAGCATTTAATATTTAATATCAAACGAACTACATACAACATTAAAAGTTCAAATAAGAAAAAGAAATGGCAAATATTATTCGGAAGGAAGTAAGATAGCGAAATCACAAGTATTTTTGCACTTCTCTCAAATGATAAAAAGAACATTCTAAATAGTCATTTTGGTTAACAAATGTATTATTCTTTTCCTGGTTTATTGTAAATGTTGAGTATGATAAGAATAGTTTATTGAGTTTCCGTCAGATTGATATCGTACAATATTGACCGTAATTCACAATGTGACCTTTTCAAATATTCTTTTATAAAGTAGTGTTTCAACACGTCAGTAACCAAGCTATAATTTATAAAAAAAAAATTGTACAATGTGGATGCTTATGTGCAACTTGGCAAATGTTAAGGATATTGCAGCTAAACTACAGACATTTCCATTATGAATAAGCGAATAGTACTGCATTTATGGAATATTTGGATAATTTGTACATATTATCTTACCTTTAATATCAAATTCTAATGTTCAAATGATCAAAACAAAGTTCCAATAAATAGCAATGTATCAGATTGACAGAAACAGCGCAAAACCCGTTTTACTACAATTATAATCTAAATTTTCTCTGCTAGAACATAGCCGGAGCATTGTACAAATAACTGCTAATCGATATATGTAGACCGTTCAAATGTATGTGTTTATCATTCGCGCCTATTTTTCTTAATTCTTGTGGAATATTTCCATAACATAATAATTTTTTCTTGTATACAATTTCAATTTAAATGCAAAAATAATATTCAGATATATATGATCCGTTCATCATTGTCCTTGAACATGAAAATGAATCTTTTTGAATAAAACTACGTGGTTAATGAATATACCTTATTGATCCTATCCAGTCATTTAAAACTAATCTTTGTAACTAGTGTATCTGCAGATATATAACAAATGTTTAGATACTCGCTCCAAGGAACGTATATCTTGTTCTCTAAGTCAAGCAACCTTACTGTTCTCTCTCTCTCTCTCTCTCTCTCTCTCTCTCTCTCTCTGTGTTCACCTTGTTTCACCTTCTTAAAAAAATAATTTTATACTTCTTATTTTATAACTTATTTTACTTTGGGTAGGTTGATTTATTTGTTTAAATCAATGTATATATGCAAAGCTATGATTTTGACCAGCTTGATTTTTCGATATTCTACAATATCATCATTTGTGGTAAAACTACAAAGATGAAAATTCAATTGTTTGTGCTTTTTTTATCAGACTAATATCTTATAGTGGTTTTTTATATACTAAGAGGTAAATAAATCACGCAACTATATTGTATTCGTTTTATTTTGATGAAAAGATGAAGGTATAAATGCAGCTGTATTTTTATTAATATAGAAAACAAATAGAGATGTTGAATCATTGCGAATTAGAAAACTATCATAAAGACCAAATGATAAAGGTGTGACTGTACAATTTCAGGTCACAGCAAAACACAAACAGTATAACAAGCATTTAAAGGCCCCAGTATGGCAAAATGTGAACAATTCAAATGAGCAAACCCTTAATCATACTTATGGAATGAATAAAAAAATATATAATGCAAGCAGCAGCGACCAACGACAGCCACTACATTACTGGCTTGGCGCTTGTACATCAAGAATGTGGGATTTTTATACATATTTGCTCAACCCTACCCTATCATTGGACAGTGGTGTAACAACATAACATAAGATCAGCTAGACAAGACTTGACTTATCGTGTTGATACTAAGCACACAAACAACCACAAAAAGACATATGATAATACTCGCACTTATTAAAAACTAGTTCAAAGACCCATTTCCGGTTAATAAATAAATCATGTTTACTTTCCTCTTGCAATAATATAACAAAGTTTACTTCTCTATCCTCTATACAAGTATTCCAAATTATAAACTTAAGACAGATTGAAAAACAAATAGTGCAACTTGTTTAATTGAAAAAAAATGGCAATCGTAGATACAAATATCTTGGTGTAGGAAGTGATAAATAATTCTTTTATTAAAATAAATATATATTCTTTGAAACTGATGCTTGGTTTTGTTATTGACAACATAATTGTTACGTTTTGATGAAGTGTTTTATCATGTCTATAAAGATGATACTGGTCACTACAAAATACAAAGGTTGGTGACTATTTTGAACATATCTGTCACATCGAATTTGAAATATAGAGTGTCATAGATACAGTATTATCTCCCTCATATCTTGATTTAAATCTAGAAGTTGACCACGAGGGTCGCTGGAGAACACAACTTAACGACAAAAGGGGAGAATTAAGCTTCTTGATTGTGTAAAATGTCAAAAATTATCAATTTTCTATGTAGCAACATTGCAGCGGCGACAACATATGGAGTATGTATTTCCTAGTTGACACGATATTCCAGTAATGGTTGTTCGTATCACAATTTTCTTGATTGTTGCTAACAGAGCACATATTTGAATCAAGCCAAGGGTTTAAGTGGTCAAGTTCAAGACATGCCTTTGAACATGTTTCAAATAAGAAAAAATAATTTAAACAACCACACGTAAGTCTAAAAAAGTGACAACAACCCGACCAAAGAGCAGAAAACAGACAAAGGCCACCAATTGGTCTTCAACACAGCGAGAAAATCCCGCACCCGGAGGCAGACTTTAGCTGGCCCCTAAACAAAAACGTGTACTTGTTCATAGAAAATGGACGTTATACTGAACTCCGAAACATACAAATGAACCGAAATTAATAAAAAAAAAAACATACAAGACAATGGTCAGTGGTTCCTGACATGCGCAAAAATGCAGCGGGGTTAAACATGTTTTGTGAGATCTCAACCTTCCCCCTATACCTCTAGACAATGTAGAATAAACAAACACACAGCTATACGCACAGTAAAACTCAGTTTAAAAGAAGTCCGAGTCCGATGTTAGAAAAGGTAACAGAATAAACTAAGCAAAATGAAAATGATAGCATAAATTTACAAGGGACTACTAGCAGTTACTGACATGCCAGCTCCAGACCTCAATTAAACTAATTGCAAGATTTTGTCTTCATCATATGTAAATCAAGCACAATCTCTCCCGTTAGGGGTTTAGTATCATACCATCATAAAATATACGAGAAGAACTTAAGCCGTATCATGCCAACAACTGGTTTTAGAATAACTTAGTTTATTTCCGATGCAAAGACCATATGAGTAAATCAATACTAATAACTATAACCCTTCTGAATAAGTCTGTTTAAAGGTTTGGTTGGCTTTTGAGGTGATTGACGACATGTGTGTGCTATGTAACATGGTTTAATTGTCTGTTGAAATTTGGACTAGCTTTCAGCTGTTTGATACTTAATGTCTTATCTCATTTGACTAGTAAGTTATTTTTCTTTCTTGTTTTTTACCTAGTAACAACCTGTTGAGATCTGTTGGGCCTAACTGCTTTTTCCTAATGTTGACAGTTGTTTCTATTGTAGCACAGTAAAAGGTAAGGTAGGCGGTTTTGCAGTCAACAAAAGTTTAACCAACCACATCTCTTTATGAACATGTCCCAATCCAGATGGATGTTGTCCTGGGGTTGTTGCTCGTCTGAAAAGTTTATTTTTTTCCTTTATCATTTTTAGGATAAATCAGGTGGGTTTTTGCCTCTTTTGCACTATTTCACATAATTATACACATGATGATGGTTTTTTTAAATATCATTATATACTGTATGTGTTTCGCTCAATATGGAAAAGACTACTGTTACTTGTTCACATTCTCGTCCGGTGGTCTTTGGTACATACATTGTAGTGTTTTCTTTGGCATTCCTACCACGTATCCTTACTTTGTATATGCAAAGCATTATGAGACGTTAAAATCTCTAAACTCTAAACATTTGAAAATGTTTACTTTCTTTGTTCATTTTCCTACAGCAAACTGTTATGATACCTGATAACCTGCCAGGTTAAGATTCAGAGAAGCAAATTATAATTCATCAACTTAAATTGCATTGCAGCTTTCACCAATATCAGTCGACGTAGGTTTATAATGTCGAAAGTATCGCACAACTCAGATGTAATCGAGTACGGAACAGCTAAGTTGCCGTAAATTCTCTAGTCCATTCATATTGGTTACCGCGATTTTTTTACAATCTCCAATTCGGTTTTTACATTACTAGTTATATTGAGACCCTACAAAGAGGATGCGTTCTAATTCTTCTTATTGATTATTCATAATCTTTTACATATTTTAGTATGATTGAGTGTATAGGCAAGTTATTTTAATAGCTATTTTTATGCAGACGAAGGAAACCATTAATAAGTTACGAAATTCAGTTTCTACACAATGTATCTTATCACTTTTTTTGGTTTTTTTTAAAGCTCCAATATTCAAAAAATTTAAAAAAAAAACAAAATTGATACGAAAAACAAACCAAGCTCTTATCTCTTTTGAGGCTTATTTGTAGACGCCTCGCTGCACAAAACATTTTTCAATCTATCAACAGAGGTTTCAATGTTAATATAATAAGGCCAATATATACGAACAGTCAACTAGTCTATGAACACTAGGTCTTTTTATTCAATTATGCGGAAAGCATGTTATGCATGTTATGTGATCAACCGTTACAGGTGTGTGTATTAAATAGTGTAATAAGATGAAGGTAGGACATTGAAAAGCTCAAATTTCCAAAATTACAAATACTGGTTAGTATAAATTTCATACACCTACATTGAAAATAAGCAGCGGAACGAGGAAGTATGTAGCATTAGTTATAAAAGTATGTCAAGTAGTTAACAAGATTTTTAGATTGAAGTCGGAAAATACTGTCCCATATAAATTAAGATTACTTGGAAAAAATACATTATTTCTGTTCGCTTTTTATGTGTATGATATGGTGGAATTTATAAAGCAAGGTACGTCGTCTTTACTAAACACTCAATTTGTTATTTGAAAAGTCTCCACACAATAATAAGTAAAATATTCTTTACAATTTACGTAGAAAGAACAAATAAAATACTTAATTCATGTAATTCGCGAAAATGAAACCACCGCCAGCGTTTTGAAATACAATATTTTAAGTATAGTGTTGTTATATGACAATGCAATAATGTATGTGTAGGATGTAGATGTCTTTTGTTTGTATGTTCTGTTCAGTAGGGGGAAAATATCAAATAAAGGATGTCAAAGGCTCAACATAATATTAAGGTGCAAAATTGGTGTTGATCCTCTACATTTTAACATTTTTAAAAAGTATCCCTCGCAAGTGAGGGTATAGAGGACAATGTAAATAGATATTTCCGAATAAAGCAGAGTACTACGACAACTAAATTAATGTGCTGGAATGACTGGTAGTTTCATAAAGCACAAATGTTAAACATGTTAGATATTTTGCCTATTTTTTTTTCCTTCTCAATTTCAGCTTGAATGAATTTATCAGTCATGCTTTAAACGACCGTAATTGGTGGTTTTCAAGACCTCAATAGAGTAAACCATGGAAATATTGATGTTTCAACTGGATACATCTTTGCATCTATGTACTTAAATGTAGATTATTAATGAGTTCTAGAATCTTCAAAAGTTGGGAGATTTATATTTGCAAACGTGCCTTCAAAATGTAATTTTCAAATGAAGTCCAATAAAGTATTTGGCCTTTAAGAGTACATATGCTAATGTGAGAACTAACAACATGCACAACATAAACTATATAAATTATCTTTTATTTGATCCACGCATTTTCCTGAAAATCCCGGAAATCCGCTTTCTCAAGTATTATAGATATCATATTAGTCCGATTTCTATCTGGTAAGAGTGGCTCTTTACTTCTTATGAAATTGCATGTTAGCAGTTTTCAATCAGATTTATTATAGCCTCTATGTACTTGTTTATTTGGTTTCTCTTGGTAGGAGCTCGTGATATAATTACAAGAACACTATAGTGTGGCAGGATTATAATAGATTTAGAGATCTTAATACCCTCCACAGTATAACCAAAAAATCTTGACATATTAATTAATAGACGTGTTATGAAGGTTGAAACGTCGCTGAATACCACTACTTGCTATATCAAAGGACCATCTCAAATTGCAGATACTCCTTCATGATACTTAAATAAATAAAACCTAGGTATATAGTCTGTTTGATATATTTTGCATACATGTATATTGACCTAACACTTCATTGTATAATTTCTACACTGGCGTTGATCCAGACCTTTTTGAAAATGATTTCGCTACATATTTAAGCAAGAGTTAACATGCAAAAATGTCTCGCCTGCGTATCTTTATGTTGAATTAAAGTCTTTAAAGTAAATGTTAAATTACATAAGCTGCTAAACATTAACTGTTATTCATTAAAATAATGTCGATGACAATTTACCCTGCAAACTGACATGTACACCTTACAATCATTTCATATACCAAATAAATATCGACGACATATTGTATATAATATTATATTATATCATATATATAACCATGCACACATAATATTAACAGCGAACCATTGATATGACGTCCAAATCAGATGAATCGTGTCAAACGGACATGTACACCTAGCATTCATTCCATACATCGAATAAAGTGGACCTTATGCCTACTGTGTCTCAAAAACGGACCTTAAAACCCTGAAAAATGGACATGAACAACTTGCAATAATCTCATACCCTAAATATAGTTCACCTATTGATTAGAGTATCTAAAATACGGACTTGACGTTGATCACTGGTTCATTCAATGATGTAAAGGTTAGGTGAGCCCTGTATTACGGACATGTAGAGTTGCAATACTTGTATCTAAACAAATATAGGTATCGTATTATTCTTAATAAGTGAGAAAAAGGCATAAGCCAATTTATCAAGAGGAAAATTTGCATGAAAGTTCACACTTTTTCAACGAAATATAAATGCGATTCTCGTCTGATGACGTCAATCTTAACTGCTCATACAATATAAATCGATAAACTCGTTTCTATATTTTATAATTTACTACACATCTTTATCGTCCAATGCAGTTTGTCTGTGAAGTTATGTGTAAGAGGAATTATAGTACGTGTACCATACATATGGTACGAATATCCTAGTATCATTGGATTAATTTCCTTCTAGAGAAGACATTTTGTTTTATTACTTTCAATTGGAATGGAATGAAACTTAAATGAATACCATGAGCAGTTGCGCAACATGTGGTTTTTATAAAAAAAAAATGATGAAATCCCCTAATCAAAACATGGACTTTTTCTATTTACAACTGAACAGTCGGGGATCAAAATCTCATACAGGGGACAGGAATGGTATTTTTTGTGTAAAATACATGATATTTTTAGAATGTCAGCCGGGATGTGCGATGTTAATCTGAAACCGGTTCAAATATGTGAATGCTCTTTAATTTATGTTCATTTAAACTTTTCATGACATTTTCTACTTTTTTCGTTTTCAAATAATTGTCAGTTACTTTCGCCGATATTTTTGTTTTTGCACATTTGTACTATTTGTAGTACTCTCTGGTCAACAATAGATTGGAAACAGTGTCGTCTGGTCATTAAAGACACTCTTTCGTCGTATTGTAAAAATTGATGAAAATTATCTTGACCTTTTTTTAAACAATGTATGAATATTGCGGATATTCGAATATCGGATTTTGAAAATAATTTAGAAATAAATTAAAGGGCACATTATGCGCATATTTGTAAGAAACAAACTAGAAGTACTCACCGGGTGGTTTGTGTTCATACCGGCCGACATAGCTGCCAACGATGTGGTGGTGGTTGTATGATGTAAATAATACACGGAAGTTCTTGAGAAAAGATAAATTCTTCTAAATTCAGGTCCATGCGCTAATAAGAATAACATTATCACATCACAGCTCAATGCCTCATCTAGACATTTGAAAGTCCCTACAGTAGCTATATATTGGTTTCCTAAATTACACAAAAACCCTTAAAATATCGTATCATATCGGCCTCTAGTAATTGTTCTACAACTAATCTTGCATTGCTTTTAAATAGTTCCTTTACAACTATCAAAGAATTTATAATTAACTTTTGTAATAAAACGTATGAAAATAGTGGATTCACTATTTTTAGTGTGTCAGCGGTTGGATGTTTTGGATAAATTACGTACTTTTGATGGTAATTTTAATTCGGTTGACAGTGTTTACTCTTCAACTCTTTACACTACACTGTCACACAATCTAATTAAACAAAAGTCGTCATATTTAAATAAATGGTCGTTTGAAAAATATGATTGCAAATTTATTTGCTGCAAATCATCATGATCATATAAAGCCTTCTTCTCTAATAAATTGTGGATGAAATAAGGGTAAATATGCTAGATATACATATTGGAGGTGTGATGTCTTCAGATGATTGAAACTGTAAATTTCCTCTTTGACAGCATTTATGTACGTTTGGGCAATAAAGTTTATCGGCAGGTCGTTGGTATTCATATGGGCACCAATTGCGCTCTTTTAAAACAAATGTAGCAGATTTGTTCCTGTACTGTTGTTCGTCACTATTTAAGGGCAAACTCAGCTAAGACCCGTCTAAATTCATTCAATTGGTGAATTCCACAACACTTACCGTTATCTTGATGATATTTCTTCGTTAAATAATCAAGTATTTTCTATATATACTTACTTTAAAATAAATCAAATATAAACGGTGAAAATATTAAGATATTTCAGTTTTACCCGGGAAACTCTCCACTAAAATTAACGACAAAAAGGAAGATTTTCCTTTTCTTTTTTATTGTATGTTCTTTTGTCACCATCTAATGGGGTTAATATATCCAAACTCGTTCGCTATGCCCGTGTCTGTAGTGACGTTTCGGATTTCAATGAACGTTATCAATGTATTACTGGTAAATTATTGTGTCAAGGATTTAGTTACCACAAATTACTTAAAACATTTACTAGATTCTTCCATCGATACACAGACTTAGTTTGGAAGTTACCTGTAGAAAACTTATTACAAACGGGTTAGCACATCCTAAGTTTTACGGTGGTGTTGTTTACCGAGTCCGTTAATTTAGACACGATCCAGGTAAACTTATCGATCCTTTAAACAAACTTATTCTAAAAGGTTACCAATTTAAAGGTGTAATTATATTTTTGAATATTATTTGTATCGGTATAAATATTGATTTTGTTATCAGAAAATTAAAACCAAACTAAATATTCTCGTTATACACATATGTACATTCACGATTCTACCATCTGTCAATACCAACATTTTTGCATTGCACAATGTCATGTTTTTGTCTAAATGATAATGACGTCTTTACACTTAAACCCGCTAAATCCATTAGATGTGTACTGATTGATATTCTAGTCTTAAGACACATAATTTTTCATAAGTTGTCATTGATTTTGAACTAGCTTTGTGTAACTGTGAGTACTTTCAGATCTGCACTTTGTGGCGTCTTTTGTGTTTTTGCAAGGGTTTTTATGTGCTTTATATCGATCTGACGAGTTAAGCCATTTTTAACAGATTTGTTTAGTTTGTTCTTAAGTTGTACTGTTACACGACAGTCGCAGGTTAGAGGAGGGTTTGGTGCCACTAAACATGTCCAATCACATTCTGTATGTGCCTGTCCCAAGTCAGGAACCTGTAATTAAATGGATGTCATTTGTTGCTGTTTATCATATTTTATGGAACGCCACAGCTGTCTTATGTGGTACTCTGATCTTACGTTGTGTTTTTATTATAACTTGATGATATTTTGTCTTTACATAATATGGTTTTGACATAACGTAATGATGTTATGATATAACTCAATATGGAATAGTCATTACTTAATGATATTTCGATATTACATGATATGGTTTCGCATTGATTTGATATAGTTTTGTCATTACTTAATATGGTTTTGTCATTTCTCGATGTGGTTTCACAATTATTTAATGTGGTTGTGTCACTAG